ATGCTGAAAGAATTCTAAAACAACCTGAAAACCTGTCAGAAACACTTGTATACTATTATTATGTAAACCAAGTGTTTTCTTGCACACAATCAATTCTATTCAATGCTATTACAGAAGTTAATAATAAAATGGATTGTTGTTAAAATAAGCATAGGCAAAACTTTGGTAAAACTGAAGTGAATCATACAGTCTATAAGTTCCCACGTAGACATTTTGACCAAAAAAAAGACTTTTATTAATTTTTTGTACATGTAATTAAACACTTTAAAAAAGGTTAATTATTTAAAGGTTACAGACTAACAATTCCAAAGGAGCAAGATATGAGTTCATGATAGGATCAAGAAAACGACAGACAAATGAATATTACGGTATACAGATATAAAGTGTAGGAGGATATGTTGATTCAACTGAATGAACAAAAATCATACCATTTTATGAGACAACCAGGAAAAACTTACTCCAGAACAAATAAGAACTACAACACAAATTTGGTGTATACAATTGATCTTTTTTCATAGAAATCTTTATTTTCTATCTATCCTGAGACCTAACTGTAAAAATATATAAATAATTAAATAAGGTTTGAAAGAAACTAGACAATGCTAAGAGACTGGGATCTATCAATGTATCCCAGGAGTCTGTCATTTCTGACAACTCTAGAGAAAATAGATATTGTGACGTTTTTATACATTATAATGTCCTGAGGTAAACTACTCTTCTCTAATGTTTTTATTGCATGTTTCTTAACATCTAACATAAAGACAATATGTAAATCTTTTGTCTTTCATGTGGTTATGTCACCTTAAGGTCTCATAGAAACAATACAATATTGACTTCAATACCACAATTATTCATTTTAAATATACAGAAGGGATATAACTAAATTTCCATGTCATTGATTGACTAGACCAATTAAAAAAAATCTTTAAAATCCATCACACATGCAACAGAATGGAATATTATAACAAACAACATAAATTCTATCACAGACTTTCGTATATAACTCATTTAATAATTTAAAATTAAGGAATTCTCAGTAATTTCATGTCTAGAATTTTGATAAGTTCTATACACAGTAAATCCTGAATATAGAGAACTGATGGAGATTGTTGTAAACATCAATGACACAGCAAACCAACAACACAAGTTAACAAAATAAACAAATAGAGGTGATACAAACTGTATTCATGTCATATATAGGTTTAAACATATAAAACAGCCAAACTACAAGTATCTTGAATTAGTACTTTGTGTTTTTATTTTGTCAAGTTGTTGTACATTGTGCTGATCTGATGAGTCAAGCCCTTCCCAACTGATTTTTACAGTTTATTGTTTTGTTGTGTTGTTTCACGACTGTCCCAGGTTATTGGGAGATTTGAGTGCTCACAACCATATTAAAACCCACCACATTTTTTATGTATCTGTCCCAAGTTAGGAGCCTGTAATTCAGTGGCTGTAGTTGGTTGCTGTCTGTTATAATTGTATATTGTTTTATTGTTTTTAACATAAATCAGGTAATGCTGGGGCCTTTTAAAGCTTATTCATTGTATGGGTTTTCATCATTGTTGAAGGCTGTACAATGACCTATAGTTGCTTACATTTTCATCTTTGTCTCTGGCAGATATTTGTCTCATTGGCAATCATACTGTATCTTCTTATTTGATATGAAGGAGTCTTTGGAAAATGACCTTCAAATTAGAAGAATTCTAATCATGATGACTGCTAAAAAAGGTATATTGTTAAATGTATTCTTCCTTTATTGAATTCTGCCTGTTGGTCATTCCCAACCCTTTAGAAGTATTCTGGAAAAATTAACTGATTGCCACTTGAGAGGACTTCAGAGTGCTTGTTTATTACCAGATATGGAATTTATCTACGAGAAAAAATACTAATTAAGAAATACAACATCTGAGTTCATCAAACAAACAATCGGGTCTGATCTTGTTTCCTTTTCTCTCAATGTTTCAATAGACACATACATATACCAATCAAAATTATTCTTCATTAAAATATTTTAGCTCTGTCTAGGTTCATCAGTTTTTAATATGATAACTTTTGGAGATTTGTTTAATGTTGCAGTATAAACTAAAAAAAGATTTTTGAAAATTCTGTTACAATATGATTAATAAATGTGGGTATATATGTCATACAATATTACATCTACTTGAAAGAGGCAAACGTTTCAATGACATTAAATTTCATTTAAAAAAGTTTACAACACTTCAGTGTATCTGTTTAAATTGAAAGAGTAATAAGTTTTAGGTAAATAGTGTTGACAAGCTACCCCTCCTCCAGGAAAGAAACAAAACAAAACATAACAAAGAAGATTAAAATCTGATATTAGATTAAAAGGATATTTTTAATGAAATAACATCTTTTGAGCATGCTCAAATACCTCACATCCCCATAATAGGGGAGGAGCTTATATTGGACTGCTGGAATCGTTTTTTTTTTTCCTGATTACTTTTAGGTATGATTCTATTCTGTTATGAAGAGTGGAAACCTTCATCCAAATTTAAATAAGATCTGATAATAAAAGAAGGGTGCTAGCCTCGTGCTAACAAATGTTGATGGACAAAGTGATAGACTAATTGGAGAACATTAAACCCTTATGAACTTGGTTGTGTGAGGTATCATGAAGCTTCATCTTTAGGATTAATTTGTAAGAAAATCTATGAAGGAGTCTTAAATTAAGGATATTTCTGATTATGGTGACTGGTAAAATTACTATCATAAACATCTTTTACACCAAACTCCTAAAGTGTACTCTTCAGGTTTTTCAGTGGTTGTTGTTTGTTGGTGTGGTTCATAAGTGTTTCTCATTTCTCGTTTTTTATTTAGATTAGACCATTGGTTTTCCTGTTTGAATTGTTTTACACTAAGTCTTTTTGGGGCCCTTTATAGCTTGCTGTTCGGTGTTGAAGGCCGTACTTTGACCTATAATTGTTTACTTTTTACACATGGTGACTTGGATGGATAGTTGTCTCATTGGCACTCATACCACATCTTCTTATTTATATCTTCCCACAAAATAACATGGCCCATATAAAAAACTATGCAGGACAATAAGTTGAAAATTTTCTTAGGTCAAAATGTTGAAACATAATTTAAAGAAGCTAGAAACGCTGTAACTTCCACCTCTAGAAACAAAATTGTCCTTAAAGAATACTTAATGAAAAAGTACTACACATTTATCTCAGCATCATTTGAAATTCATTCCAACAGTTATTGAATTAAAGAGATTTCCAAATCAACTTGAAACTGACATTGCAGAATTGGTTAAACCTATATATGGTAGATACCAATTAAGTCTAATTACGGTTGATCAATTTCAAATACAGATTGCCATGATGTGAAAGTTTCACATGGAACCATACATCTAATTACATGTTTCCTAGGATGTCAACAGCAGTACATTTCTTATAGAATCAAATCTTACGTTTTCTGCAATCCTTTAAGTAACAATTACTTATTCAACCTTAAAATTATTTTTCATTGATTATTCTAAAATTCTCATCAATGTCGAAACAACATGAAGTAGCATTCTTTTAATTTGAATAAGAATATTAATTTTCTGCTAGCAGGTTTTAATTAAAATAAATGGCACTCAAGTCTGTCAATATTATGCGATTGAAAGTGCATTTTCCTGACATAAGTATGCTTTAGAATCACCATGATGCAATGTAAGCTATCAATATTCCCATGCAACAAATTTATTTGAATGAAGTTTAAAGAAATAAAGAAAGTACATTGTAATTAGGATCTGAGAACAATTTTAATCTTAGAAGTTGCAGATATATATTTTAGTCTTTAAATGGACACATAGGACAATTAAATGGAATCTAGCAAAGAATTACAGTATTGCATTGTTTATGAACTTTATTGGTCAGTACTGTAATCCTGATATTCCATACCACAATTAAAAACTAGAATCAACATTAATATGTGTCTAACAAAAATAAAAGAAATATAATTATTATATCATATTATATTGGATCTAGATCAACCAAAATCATTCATGTATGAAATGTAGGTAAAGGTGACCTCATTTTTGTATGGACCTTTCATCTTAGAGAACATTTATTGGTAATAATTTTTGTCACATGACTTGTAGTTGCTACTATAGATCTGAGATTAAGCATATCTTGACTAAAGTCGTTTAAGTGTAAATTGTAGTGACGTATATTGGAATGGAACAACATTATCATTAAAGACATAACCCTGACAAATAGAATTCCCAAAATGACTTGTAGTTGCTTAGACCATAATACAAAACTTTACATGTGTAAAATATAGGGTAAAGTGACCTTATTTTTCTTTTCACCTCCCTTTCTATAAAAACAAGAATGTGTCCATAGTACACAGATGCCCCACTCGCACTATTATTTTCTATGTTCAGTGGACCGTGAAATTGAGGTCAAAACTCTAATTTGGCATTAAGATTAGAAAGATCATATCATAGGGAACATGTGTACTAAGTTTCAAGTTGATTGGACTTCAACTTCATCAAAAACTACCTTGACCAAAAACTTTAACCTGAAGCGGGACATACGGATGGACGAACGAACGAACGAACAAACGAACGAACGAACAAACGAACGAACAGACTCACAGACGGAAAAACATAATGCCCATAAACAGGGCATAAAAATGATGACTTTAAAATGGTTAGATCCGACTCTCCCAGAGAAGAAGGAATAACTGAATGCAAACAGTGCTAAATTTCCTTCTAAAGACTTCCGACTTACTTTTTACTATATAACAACAATATTAAAATATAGATACCAGTTCTATCAGTAATCAGAACAATACTATAAAATAATCTATATATTGTACAGCTACCTTATATTCCCTGTACAACAAAAAACAAAGCTATCGTAGAATATTGATTGCACTTGCAAGCTTGTGCAGTATAACATTTCTTCAACAATATTTGTGCAATATGTCTATCGTACTAAATTTTTGGTTTGGAAGAACCAAAACAGAATGGGAATGTTTACCTTCATCACAACATTGTTTCCATCAAGTAGATTGTCAGAGATCTTTACTGTACCCACTTCAATCAGTTCTTGTAGGATCATCCTAAAGGTACCTATTAGTCTAAAAAAGTAAAGGATATGAGATGACACATCAAACATTCATAAATACATATGATAATGCTATATGCTTTATCTGTTTCTTCTTTTGTGTATCTTACACAGAAAATAGCAATTTCATAAAAAAATCAGATTCCAGAGGAAGTTTTAAATAGCACCATATGCACTATATTATACAACATTTCTTGTATATAGTGTAATATGATCAGTGTCTTCATTGCTGGTTCTGTGAAATAAAGCAGACAAGCCATTCAGTTATGGAAATCTAATTCATTCTAGAATGCAATTCATAATCACATCATTTACAATGTATCTCATAATTGGTAAAAACATCATAACAAAATTATTAAAAGGACAAAAAAAAATAATAAATGAGCAGTAAAAGTACAGCAGGTGTGATAAACAGTTGACAATTACTGGAGATGACAATGTAATAATATTGTCCAATCAATGGATGCAAAGGAAATAAGAACCAATAACCAGATTATTTATTGCTCAATTCATCCACCAGAAAAATATCAAATTGGATCTTTCTCGTTTACATGCATGTAGTACAGAATAAGGTTATGTAAAACTTTGTCAGGGAAAAATATAAAGAGGTTAATTTCACTGAAATTGACACTAGTATAAGTGAATGAGCTTATGTCCCATTGGGAACATGGTATGTTCAAAGCAACTTCCATTGAAGTGACACAAACACAACGTCAAGGATTAATGACATTGAATGAACTATCCTGTTGGAATTAAAATCTCTTTCATGTTAAACAACTCGGACAAGATTTCTGTCATTTTATTAGAGATCTGATCAAGTTTGATTTATAATTTCAAGGCTGTTTCCCCTCCTGGGTTCAAAACATATGAAAATAGCTTTATAAATTGGTGCATACAAAGTGCTTTTCTGGATCTACCTTCATCAGAAAAGGTCAAATTAAACATTTGAAAGCTAGGGATGCGTAAATACATGACCAAAAAGAACATAAATAGAATAGCAAAATTTATCTAAGGTCAACTTTGTCGAAGGGAATTGAGACCTTAGTTTCTTACTATTTTCTAAATCTATCCATGACAAATTTTAGCATAGTATGTAACATAAGTGATTATATCATAGATACAATTTTGTTAACAGATATGAATTAACTCCTTTATAAAACTAAGCTAGAATTTATATCATTCTGTTTTTTTTCTACTAACTAATCTGGTGGACAATGCACAGTTTGGTTTTGCTTAGAATCCTTACATTGGAAAGTTCCTTTAAAAAGTGCTTATAATCTATAAAGGCAACCCACTAAAAAAACAGTTGCAAAATGGTTATTCTTAAAATAACTAAAATAAACAAAAATTAATTCTAGTGGTCATGATGGTAGAATATTTCCTACATTTGACCAGACTATCTAACCCTTGCCATAGATCAGTTGTGAAGTAACTTTGAAAATATACATAAAAGGAAACAGTCGGGAAGCTTAAATGAAAGAGCAACCAAGCAATGCAAGTTAAGTGACATTAGAAAAATCTACCGGAATCTAAACATTAACATGTGACGCAGTTACAACCACTGACAAAAACACCACAATCTAAACATTAATATGTGACACAGTTACAACCACTGACAAAAACAACGGAATCTTAACATTAATATGTGACACAGTTACAACCACTGACAAAAACAACGGAATCTTAACATTAATATGTGACACAGTTACAACCACTGACAAAAACAACGGAATCTTAACATTAATATGTGACACAGTTACAACCACTGACAAAAACACCAGAATCTAAACATTAATATGTGACACAGTTACAACCACTGACAAAAACAACGGAATCTTAACATTAATATGTGACACAGTTACAACCACTGACAAAAACACCAGAATCTAAACATTAATATGCGACGCAGCACTGACAAAAAGAGCGGAATTTAAATATATGTGAAGCAATAAGCCATTCTAAATAGATATCAAAGCATAAAAAAGACAGTAATACAACCACTGACATAAACATTCTTGAATGAAATCCTAGATATTTACAGGTAAAATGGTACAGAATAGAAGTCAATAGTTGAATGAATGATGACCATCAATAGTGCAATGACCACTGACTGTCATCACCATATTGGAGAAATAATGTAATTGTCAGTGTTTAATGTATCTATCTAATAGAAACAGGGATATATATAGCAGAGAATTGTCATAAAATATGTGATAATGAAATGGTGAACAGGAGACAATGCCTTACAAGTACAGAAAGATACAGCAACTCATTCAATTGTTAAACCTTATTCTGGTTTTGGTGGGGTTAGTTTTGCTCAATCTTTAGTTTTCTATGTTGTGTTTTGGGTACTGTTGTTTGCCTTTTCGTCGTTTTTCATTTTTTTTTCTCCATGACATTGTCGGTTTGTTTTCAACTTATGAGATTGACTATCCATTTGGTATCTTTCTCCTCTTTTTCACTAATATGTAAAACAGAAGATGTAGGAATCAACGACAGACAGTAACTTCAGAATCACTGGCCTGTCTTCAAAGTGTCCACACTTTATAAGGTGCTTTAAATAACTTAAAAGAGTGTGGTAAAAGTTGTGAATGAATACAACAAAGAAGACCTTATATTCGAAAACCAACGCTGAATCAATAAATGGGCAAAAAAACAAAACGAGATCCCCAAAACCATAATTAACAAAGAAGTCTGAAAAAGGCAACATGTAATATTTTAGTATATCAGTATATCAGACATTTTTCCAGGATTTCAAACAGACCATTTCATCTTTAATCCTGTCTATCTTTAAGTGTGGATAGTCTTGTCTACTCTATAGGCTATTGTGAGGGACAGTCCAAATTTTATAAGTGTCCACCTAATAATCATCAATTCTAGTGTAAAAAAAGAATATTCTACAAAAATCTTCTTTAATTTTCTATTTCAGAAAAATAATGAGAATTACCTAGATTTATATGAAGTCTATTACATTAATTACATAGACTTACCTATTGCTGAGGTATTTATTATAATTAAGGATCTGAATATCAATAAATTCATCTTTTTCAATCGGACGTGCCACCGGCCACTCAAATACCTAGATAAGTAAAATAGAGAAACATTTTTTGTTAAAAACTAAATTATGCTTACATAAGTTACCACTTGTACAATGTTTATATAAGGTACCTCCCTTTAGTATCTCAACGTTAAAAACTAACAGAACACAACTAAACAAAAAAATACCATATAATGCCATATATCACAGAATATTTACAGTTACTACAAGAGTGCACACGCTGAAATGTCTCGCCTACTATACTGACCATTGATTTAATGTTGATAGTCCTACATATAAAGTTTTACTGCAAGTATCATATTAACATTTATGATCCAAGAAAATGAGGTCAAGGTCAGATAAACCAAGGCAGAAATTCATGTACACCTATAATACAATCATTCCATACACAGAATATAGATTACCTATTGCTTATAGTATAAAAGAAACAGAACAAACCAAGGAAATTCTATATCTACCAATGAACCATGAAAATGACATCAAGGTCAGATGATACCTGCCAGACAGACATACTGTAAACCAACTTATTTTCGTGGATACTTTATTTCGCATTTAGTCCTTTCTAGTCCACTACACAGCGATTTAATTTCGCGATTTTCTAATTTACTAGATGTAGATACATAAGGAAAGATCCAAGTTATACATATTCGCGACGAATTTAATTGGGTTATTTTTCTTCTCACGAATGTCGCGAAAACAAATCGCTCGCGAAAATTAGTTGGTTTACCGTATACACCTTACAATCATTCCATATACCAAACATAGTTGACCTATTGCTTAAAGTTTAAGAAAAACAGACCAAAACACAAAAACTTAATATAAACAATGAACCACGAAAATGAGGTCAAGGTAAAAAAAAAACCTGCCAGACTGACATGTTCATCGTAAAATATTTCCATACACCAAATATAGTTGACCTATTGCATACAGTATTAGAAAAACAGACCAAAACACAAAAACTTAATATTGAGCAATGAACGGTGAAAATGAGGTCAAGGTCAAATAAAACCTGCCAGACTGACATGTACATTGTAAAATATTTCCATACACCAAATATAGTTGACCTACTGCATACAGTATTAGAAAAACAGACCAAAACACAAAAAACTTAACATTGAGCAATGAACTGTGAAAATGAGGTCAAGGTCAAATAAAACCTGACAATTGACATGTACATTGTAAAATATTTCCATACACCAAATATAGTTGAATTATTGCATTCAGTATTAGAGAAACAGACCAAAACACAAAAACTAAACTATTACCACTGAACAATGAAAATGAGGTCAAAGTCAGATGACACCTGCCAGTTGGACATGTACAACTTACAATCATTACATACACCAAATATAGTAGACCTATTGCTTATAGTATCTGAGATATGGACTTGACCACGAAAACTTCACCTTGTTCACTGATCATTGAAATGAGGTGGAGGTCAAGTGAAAACTGTCTGACATTCATGAGGACCTTGCAAGGTATGCACATACCAAATATAGTAATCCTATTACTCATAATAAGAGAAAAATTAACATTGCAAAAAATCTTTTTTTTCAAGTAGTCACTGAACCATGAAAATGAGGTCAAGGACAATGGACATGTGACAGACAGAAACTTCATATAAGGCATCTTCTGAAATATTAAGCTTTTAAGAAGTTAGTTAACGACGCTGCGCTGCCACCTCCGCCGGATCAATATCCCTGTCAAGCTTTCTGTGACAAAAGTCGCAGCCTCGACAAAAACCAAGTTAAAAGTACTCGATTAGTTATCTATTAGGTTTAGTAGACATGATTTTCAACTGGTTCCTTCATTTGAAAGAGGTAGACTTCATGTGCTGTTACACCACTGTCCCAGGTTAGGGGAGGGTTGGGTGCCTCCAAACATGTTTAATTTTTCTCATCAACTTTTAATTTTATGTTCTAACAATCCAGCAGCATCAACATAAGCAGATTAATTCTGTCAGTTATTACAATATTCCAAGACTGTGATTGCTATCATGATTTCCTAAATAGAGGGGTTGTTACTTAAAAGGAAAATATTGAACCAAGGGATCTTTATGGTAAAGTTAAAAGTCATCTCTTCAAATTTTTAGGGTATGTCACATCTGTTTCTACATTCATATTGAAAAAGCCACAATCTTATCCCACTTTAATGGTTAATGACATCACTGAATGCATGAGTAACATAATGGGTGCCATATGTTAAGCAGTAACTGTTTACCTCAAAATTGACTAGATAAGTCCATGTTTTGCTACATGAACCCATACAAATTATTACTAGGATAATTAGAAAATTCACACGAGGATCACAATAACATTTTGTAAGAATTGCAGCAAATGTTTCATTGAAATGCAGACTGTAGTTTAGGAGGAGTTGCAGACACAAGATGTCTTCCCATTTATGTAGAGACTGTTTTGCTATAGGAGTACCAAAAATTATTTGAACAAAAAAATAAAAGAGTAATAGAAATGATCTTATACGACTATGTACTTAAGATTCTCCAAAGATTTCAGTGAAACACAGCCATTGGTTAAGGAGAACAAGGGGATTCAAAGTGTGGCATACATATCTGAACAAATATACTTTTTCTAGATTTTTCAGATTGTCTTTATACTTTTTATAGGGGAATATATCTTTAAATAGTATCCTTTTAACAAATTAGATTGACAAACCTCATCATAGAAAGCAGAATCTTCTGAGTCAACAATCTTTGTGTAGTGGCATACTCCTGTAAAGAAAATGTACAGTTGTAAAGTACATATCAAATATGGATGTATAAGTAACATGTTCTCCTTGGTATCTTATATCAATCGACACCAAATACCTCTTGTTATTTGTGTTGATGGGCTGCTGTCTCATTTACATATAACCTACATTAGTTTGGTTTATTCATAAAAAATAACAATTTTTTGAAACTGTGTCATTGATAATTCATTGTCATCTTATAGCCTTCAATAATGATCAAATGTTTATAACATAAAGTAAACTTTGAAGGCACATTAAAAAAAAAAAAAAAACTAATGAAGTAACAAGTCGGATTACACTTCAATTTTTCATTCGTGATTTCCAAAAGAGAATGAAATCTGGGTTTATATATCATCTGATGCATAGCACTTTTGTAATTCTATTTACAACAGTATGTATCACAGAAATCTACAATTCAATCAATCCAAGAAAAACCTAATTTGAGAAATTACATTTGTTTATAGAATTGTGTGACCTACATTTGTAATTAGAGCAGAAAATGTCCATTATTTACAATGTCCCTATACTACTATATACAGATGTATCTTGTGAATTGCTTCCTACTCTAATGATTTATTTTTCTATTCAATATGATTATGACTAGGCAATATGGATGAAGATTGAAGATAAAACTAAAATCATAAATCAAACTCCAGGAATTATTGTTAAAATCTGTAATGGTATTTTTCTAAAAGGTTTATATCTGTAGCTTTGTTGAATATAATTGGAATCTAGGATGTTGCTAATTGTTATATGTTACTTTACCAATTCAATATTATGTTTTGCTAATTTAAATGTATTCCTGCATTCAATAAGCTGAAAAGTTAAAGGATTTATTCATCATATAATGAAGCAGTTGGTAAATATTACTCAATGTTAATGTTTATATTGCTGTCAATAAAACACAAATTAGGTACATTACCAATATGTTAATCAATCAAATGCTGTCAATTAACGTCCAACGGATTAATTGTTATGATTAAAGAATCCTGTTACCTTAATTATAATTGTTAATCCTCAGTTTTGTTTCATAGTCTTAAACTAGTTGCTTAAAACTTTACATGACAATCATACTTGAAACATGAGAAATATAGCTAATATGGTTAAACCTATGAATAAAAAGAACAAGTCAAGTATATGCCAAGAGGTAGCAACCCAACAAAATTCTAAACTTTTATAAAGCTCAGTGTAAAAAAAATAATCCTCTAACCAGTTTCATTGTACAATCACTTTCTTGAGTGAGCATATGCTAAGAATCTTTAGAATAATGTGTGATGAACAACATAAATTGGCCATACAAAAATATTGTTATTTACAAGCTAACAGTTCAAGCAACTTCAAATATGTCATGTCAGAATAGGGACATTCAAACTGATGCTTCTGTTGTGAGCTGTAAAAGAGCTATTGCAATTACTTTTTCAGGGGCCCATAGATGGCCTACATGGCAGAAATTTAGCCCCTACCCAATATATCCATCTTTCTAGTGGCAGTCATAATTTCACACCCTCATACCACCAAAATTGATTGATTACTCATAATTTGTTCTAATTCTAAATATGCCAGAAATATTTGCCATTGAACATTAACAAAAGACAATAAGTCATAAATTATAAATAAAATATCTAAATTAAATCAAATTGATTTTATAAAAATACATATACATGTAAAAGAACTTTTATTGGTTATAGTAGATAACATCAATTATAAAAACAAAATAGCAATTGATTACCACACTCAATACCAGCTTTTATAATAGATAAGATATGTGTTTCACATCATAGATGTATCATCTACATAAAAACCCAATACAATTTAATTAAAATTATCTGCTTTCTAGGTTTCAAATTAAAGGTAACAGTAGTTTACCATGTTTGAATCTTATAAATCCATATACAATATTCTGAATTCAAAAATTATTGCAAAGTTTTTATTACCTGGTAATGCAAAAAGATGTTTAGTTTTGAGATTACAATAATAAATACCTTTATAATCTCATTATTAATTCCAGTAGTGATGTTCCTTCATAAAAGTTTTGCCATTACATTTATTAGATTTGGCATCTTTGACAAAGGACAAGGATTCTCAAAAAATAAATGCACATATAAATTTCTGAATTTGCAGTATACGAATCAAGATATAAAACAATACTTGAGGGAGTCACATAAACTTCAAACTGAGCATGTGTCAATTATCAAGTACTGGCATTTACTGATGTAGGGTTTGTAATACACAGGGTTTGATTGAAAACATTTCAAACTTAAACTTTGAGTCTTATGTACAGACCTAAATAATCGCATGACCTTCTGTTAACAAGAGTGCACATCTCGAAATGTCTCGCCTGTACACATTCCATACATCAAATATTATAGTTAGCCTATTTCTTATTGTATCAGAAAAATAAACTGTTATCACAGAGATATGTCTCACCTTTTTGTAATTTTGATAATGCAAATGTTGAAATTAAAATAGCAATACTTTAACATGTAAGTTATGCAAATATTCAAAGTCGATGAACCATGACTGAAGGTACATGGCTGAACAATCTCCATGAAAATGAGATGTGCCAATTTTAATACAACTGCATACCAAATACCATTGACTTATCATAAGTCGTTCCCTTTAAACAAACCTAAACACAAACATTAACTTGTAAACAATGTAACAGTTTCAAAGTCAATGAACCATGATGAGGGGGTTGGGCTTTATAATCTCCATGGAAATAAGACTTGCAAATGCCAAAAAATTTGCATACCAAATATCGTTGACTTAACATTAGCAGTTCATCTTAAACTGATCTAATCACAAACTAATACATATAAACTAAGCAAATGTTTCAAAGTCAATAGACCATGACTGAGGGGGCAGGGCCAAATATTCTCCATGGAAATGAGATGTGCTAATGCTTATACAACTGAGTACCAATTAACATTGGCCTACCACTAATGGTTCCCCTTGAACTGACCTAATCACAAACTAATACATGTAAACAAGCAAAATTTTCAAAGTCAATAGACCATGACTAAGGGGGTGGAGCCAAATAATCTACATGGAAATGAGATATGCCAATGCTTATACAACTGCATACAAAAAATCATTGACCTACCACTAGTGGTTCCTTATAAACTGACCTCTCAATAATGACGACTTCAGTATGTACACTAAAGAGATTTATCCTGCCGAACTAACTTTAAATAACGCTAATACTAACAATAAACGCTGCCCTTTCCTGAATCTTGATATATTTATCTTTAACGGGAAGCTTAATACCAAAATTTATGATACAAAAGATGATTTTTCATTTCCTATTGTTAATTATCCATTTTTAGATGGTGACGTTCCCTTGTCCCCATCTTATGGTGTTTATATATCTCAACTTGTTCGATTCGCTCGAGTATGTAACAACATATTTGATTCCAACAAAAGAAATCTCTGTATTACTGAAAAATTATTACACCAGGGTTTTCGATATCACAAACAAACTGGTCAAAACATTTACTAAATTTTATCATCAGTACAAGGACATCATTCGTAAATATAAATCAACATGCAGACATCTTATACGTTCAGGTATTTCACATCCAATATTTTATGGTAATATTTTTTACAAAGCACAAAAATGTCGACATTCACCTCAAAAGCTAACCAAACCTTTAAACAGACTTATTCGGAAAGGATATAGTTACGATACTGTTAAGGATTGCATATTTTGGTATTAATATTGATTCACTCATAGGGTCTTTGCATTGGAAATAAGCACATTTATTCTAAAACCAGTTGTTGGCATGATACAGGTTATGCTCTTCTCATATATTTTATGATGGTATGATACTAAACCCCTAACGGGAGGGATTGTACTTGATTTTCATATGATGAAGTTATAATCTTTCAATCAGTTTAATTGAGGTCTGGAGCTGGCATGTCAGTTACCGCTAGTAGTCCTTTAATGTTCATTTATGTATCATTGTTTGCTTAGTTTCTTTTGTTACCTATTCTGACATCTGACTCTGACTTCTTTTAAACTGAGTTTTACTGTGCGTATTGCTATATGTGTTTCTTTATTCTACATTGGCTAGAGGTATAGGGGGAGGGTTGAGATCTCACAAAATATGTTTAACCCTGCCGCATTTTTGCGCATGTCCCAAGTAAGGAGCCTCTGGCCTTTTGTAGTCTTGTATGTTTTTAAATTTTAGTTCATTTATATGTTTTGGAGTTCATGGTGACGTCCATTTTCACTAAACTAGTACACAATTTTATTTAGGGGCCAGCTGAGGACCACCTCCCGGTGCGGGATTTTCTCGCTGCATTGAAGACCCATAATGGTGGCCTTTGGTCGGGTTGTTGTCTCTTTGACATATTCCCCATTTCCATTCTCAATTTTACTAATCACAAACTAATACATGTAAATTAAGCAAAAGTTTCAAAGTCAATAGACCATGACCGAGGGGGCAGGGCCAAATAATCTCCATGGAAATAAGATGTGCCAATGCTTATACAACTGCATACAAAATATCATTGACCTACCACTTGTGGTTCACCATAAACTAGACCTAATCACAAACTAATACATTGTTGACGACGACGCCGGAAACAGCATACCTATGTCTCGCTTTTGACTCCGTCAAGGCGAGACAACAACTGACTTAACCATGAACACATAACATTGACCAATGACCCATAAAAAAGAAGTCAAGGTCAGGTGAAAACTGCCAGACAGACACTTACACCTTACAATTATTCTATACACCAAATAGAGTTGACCTATATGGCTTATAGTACCTGAAAAACAGACCAAACCACAAAAATTGAACATTGATCAATGAACCATGAAAATGAGGTGAAGGTAAGATGAAACTTGCCAGGCAGACATGTACACCTTATATTCACTTCATACACCAAACATAGTTGACCTACTGCTTATAGTATCTGAGATATGGACTTGAACATGAAAACTTAACCTTGACCACTGATCAATGAAATAAGGTT